AACCAATCAGAACTGAGTAATTTTTTCATGTATATTATTAGGTGTGTAACAACATGATTTTGAGTGCAATTTGGTATTTATAAGTACGGTTTACGGTCAATTCGTCACCACAGCAAACTTGCCACCACTCGAAGTAAATCATAGTACGAGTAAATTACAGATTAGGGGGACTAGACGACCGAGGGTATCACTTAGGCTCATCATGTAAGTCTACAATTTGGTCCAACATTTTGAAACTGGAGGACCCTTACCTGAAAACGGCCGAGGTGTTTCAATTTGCGAGTAGCTCAGGCGTTGTGCTTTGATTCTTAGCATTATTAATGCATTTGCTAAATCTTGGATTTCTCCTAAACTGCTTTGATACTAGAAAGCGAGAGGAACTTTTGGTAAAATAAGGTGTAGCATTGCAAAGAGAGGGGAAGGTAGAGCAGGCGCAAAAATAAAACAAAAAGGCTGTAGCATCGGCAATCAGCTTTTCACAAGCCTCCCAGAAACGTTGATTATGAAAAATTGGTAGCCATTGGCGTGTGATCCTCCCCCATGATACAGGGCCCCGTATTCGACCAACGTTGCGTTTCGTCTCTTGTCCATTCTTCAGGTCGCATGGACCGGAAATCAAACTCCTTCGAACTGTACTTTTATTGACGTTTCTTTCCGCTGCTTCCGGTTTGAGCTTTTTTTCGGGGCTGTCTTACCTGGGGTATTCTCAGTAGTGCCAAAATGCCTCCTTCTGCTCATTTTTGCTCATGTTAAGTCGGGGATTAACAATTCTAAGTCAAATCTGTTACAGTTTCTCCGATACTGTAAGGCTATGATACCGGAGTCGGACTTCCCACGAGCAAACAATATCACAGCACATAACTTCGCAAAGCGAAAAACCGACAACTTCTAACACAGTTTTCGGTGCTGCGTAGATGGGAGTGACAAGGTAACTGCGGTTTTATCTACCGTGTTGATAACGTAAATTGGCCCCTATAAGGGGTTTTAAGAGCTGACGTTTCGAGCTTTAGCCCCAAGTCAGAGCGAGTGAAGGAATTGTGGGTTGTGTGTGTTTACATGCAGAAAGTGGAGCCACGTTATTGGTGGCAACATGGTGACGAGATGATAAAAATAAATGACGATAATAATAATAATAATTAATATTTATATTGCGCAAATAAGCATTGTGATATGATCAAATGTGCATTACAATGTTTTGCGGGGGACTTAACAGACTGCTTACAGCAGTTTACAATTTTTTGTGTGGACAAATTTTAACAGATTCCCCCAATTACAATTTATTTCAAATTAGTACAATGAAAAGCGTTCGTTGATACCATTGGGATTAAGAGTGTCGTTTTGAAAAATAAACTTTTGCTCAAGAGTTTTGCGGCCTCCCGAACTACCTAAATGTAGGGAAAGGCCGCAGACCGCCATCCTATGGTCGGGAACCGGACCAAACACTCCCACAGGTCATCAGCCATGATTAATCGCTTGAGTTCCGATTTCTTGATTAACCTCTAGATTTTCGGACGATAACCAATCATATTTTTGCGTTTTGAGCAGAAGTAAAACTCTTGGGCTTAGTCTGCAGTGTATTCTTTTCAAGCGCCTCACTCCATGATCCAAGAGTTCAGCGCGGGGCAGTCACATCAATTATTTTTTACACTGATGTTTTTAGACTCGCCCACAGACTTCGCGAAAAAGGAAGGACTGCTCTAAGTCTATTCGACTGAAGTTGAATTCGCGTTATCATCTATGTCAATGTCCCTTCACTTTATTTTGATTTCACGGGAAAGAGAGAGTTCTATGAAATACTTGCATACTTTATCGTCACCTCCCCGGGACTTTTCAGGAGCATAGGAAAGTATCTAGAAATCGACTCATAATTGATTAAAGACACATTAAAGAAAAAATACTTGGAGGTGGTTTTATTAAGAGCAAACAAAATTGCCGAAACTTTTTTGCTTTAAGGGCGTATAAAAACTTGAACTGAACTGCCTAGTTTAGAAACTTACCCCCTTTTTTTCCCAAGAGCCAAGAGCAGTTTATCCGAGAGCTTTTCGTCTGACTATTTTCTCTTTTATTGGAGCAGTTTGTGTCTTCGGCGCAACCCCTTTTATCCCTTCCTAAAAATCTTTTCCAGACGATAGTAAAAGTACAGTCGTTTTCCTCAAATCATTTATTATGCTTTCAAGAGAAGAACCTTGCGCCAGAGCAGCGTTTGTATTCCGAAAATCAAAAAAAGAAAAAGAGACGCTGTTGACCGCCACGAAAACCAACCACTGAGGCCCTGATAGGGTAAATTCCGACGGGCGACATGGCCTTGAAACAGCGACATCAGGGAAATAAAAATGCGACATTGATGAAATTGCGACAGCGGCATCAGAACCTTCCGGAATGGCGACGTGACAAAGTTTGAATTTCAGACGGGCGACATCTATACCCCCCCTGACAGGGCCTCAACATTCTTGACAAATGAATACTGCGGTTCACCTGAATGATTATATCTCTCCTTTAGTAAATGAACAAAACGAAACTTAACAGATAAATCATTTGCCCATTCGTGTCTGGCTGCCGTTAAGGATTAGTGAAGACGCCTATAATTCGAAATTTTGAGTCAGAAACTGTAGTTGATAACGCATGCGGTGCCAAAAAAGGGTGATCACTAGCATTATTTTTGTTTCTCATGTGTCTCCCGGTCACAAAAGTATGTAAATCATTGTCATAATGATAGGGTCCCTTTCAACGCCTCTCGCTCTGTGTAATAAAGGTTTCTTCTATCTAAAGTACAGCGAAGATATATACATTCCAGATTCCTCCGACATGGTTATGCCTAGTAACTCATGTACAATAATGAGCGAACTGGAATTCCAAATTAAAGTAAAACAACGTTGAATGTAATGTTTCCGACCTTTGTTTTAGATTACTTTGGCTGAAATGTTCTCATAATTAAGTTTCATTCCCGGACGCCTTCACCTGCTTTTGCTTCCACTGAATTTGCCAGGGCGCTTGTTTGGAGTTCAGTCTCCTCGTTTGGGTAGTGATTGTTTAGATACCTGGCAACGGAGAATCTAATCGCTTGTAAGCGTTCCTGAAAGGCAAAACAGTGACATTACAAATTGTGCTCGTAACGTTTCAAATAAGGACAAACATGGCTCATTCGGAGATCATGCTCAAATCTCGAGAGAGAAGTGAAGACTTAACCAAGGTTTCAAGTGTCAACTCGGTTAGTAGGAGAGGTCGGGGGTTCGAGCCCCGGCCGGACCCATACTCATGGTCTTAACATAAGTGAGGAGAATTTGCTACCTTTCTATAATCAAGAATTGGATAGATATTCTAGTCTTCTAGGATATGGACGAATAAACCGTAGGCCCCGTNTGGCCCTGAAAAGCCCCTATAGGGAGTGGTCAATTAACCTATGTATGTATGTAGTGGCCGAATTAGATCTGGACCTCTTTACTTTCGGAAAATAATGAGGAGATGATTCATGAGCCTCGCAGACATCCAGACCATAAGCAGAAGCTTCTCGCAAGAGTGTCTCAGCCAACAAAATAATAGGTCAGCAACTATACTACAAACCTCTCTAGCAACTTTTGCTTTGGTCGGCTTGCAAAAGCAAGAACATCCAGGGCAAATACAGGAGAAGCAATATGTAAAAGTCTTGAAAACAAGAAAATAGAAAACTGCTCGATGAATTCATTAAGCGATAAACATATACTTCTGCAACGTATAATATCCTTTAATTGCACCGATTGGAATACATTTGATGTCATCATTGTACGGAGTGAGCGTTAAACTCATTCGTACTTTCAGCCATAGTCTTCAAGAAAATCTCTTATCAAGGTAGTCTTCGAAGAAAATTGTGAATCAACGGTTTTGTCCATCAGAAGGACAAAACCGTTGAATTAGAGGAAATAATTACAGGTGAAAGTGGCAATGTGCTTTGAAAAACCATTGTGTACATACAGGTCCTGTAGGCCTGAACTCCTCGGACCCGTATTGGCAACTGTACGGGAAACAGCACCAAGAGCAGATGCAGCTACAACTGTGGGCTGAGCTCTGTAAAAATAATTTTGAGTGCAATAGCTTTACTCAGATCCAGCAGCACTAATATTCTCACACATTTGCAAATAGAATATCTGGTGAGACAGACTTCCGTAATCAGTGACAGAAGTTGTGAACACCCCTATCTTTCCGCTGTAGAATGTTGGAAAGAGCAATAAATACTATTTATGTTTTCATTTCAATGAAGAAACGTCAAAGAGAGCTTGAGTAGAACGCGTCGATTATCATGAAAAGATCAAAAGAAGAGATCTCAACAATCTTAGTCTATGTAATTAAATTCTCTAACACTGAGGTATTGTTTGGTCGACTGATGTTGCATAAGGGAAGATGAAAACAAGAACTTTTAGAGCTTGTCGCGATCTGATTCTGGGTGAAAAATGAACTTCGGTGCTTTGCAAACAAATTTTATAGCATATGTTCAAAGGTTATTTCATTAAAAGAGCTCCCGAGCACTTCAATCAACGGGTAATAAAAACACATATTCTCATGGATGCTGCGTTTTTTTCCTTGAGTCCATAAGTGACACTTTTTTTTAGACATTTCTACCGATTCTATGTAGATTATGTCTTAAAAATTTTCAAACCGCTTTTCATAAAAACCCCAATTAACATAAGTTTTTCTGGGATTGTTTCAATACCTTGTCGCTTGTGCCATGCTCGAAGTTCATTTGTTCCAATTCCACGTCAGTTCCGTTTGGTGGCTGCTAAAAATAATTCCACATGGACACTTTTTTAGAGACAAAACAGTCAGGAACTTGGCCACATCTATATAAACAATAACCTCCCTTTGGCGCGAAAATATGCACGGATACTTGTCCGTGGACATTATCTATTCCGAGATGCGAACAGTTTCATTGAGAGCGAAGCTCGACTAAAACTATAAATCTTAGTCCTTTTCCTTTGGAAAAATCAGTTATTGCTTAAAGACCGCCGTTCTTTGATTTCCTATGCTAACAGTTTGGTTTTCAATACCGTTACCGTTTAAGTTGTCTGTGATACAATTTCTGCTTAAGAAAAAAACTACAACGCATTACAGAAAAGGAAAAAAAAGCTGATGTACACGAACTAAACCAAACCGAAAACGAGGTAAATTAACAAAAAGAACATCTTTGGGCCAAAGAATTAATCAAAACGTTTCAAGTTATCTTCATTACTCCAATTTGCCCGCTTCGACAGCTCAGACAAGGACATGTGGACTTCTCCAGGTTGAAGGGAAAATAACGATATTTCGTTATAGTATGGTAAAAAGATATACAGAGACAGAACTCCAAGTAATTTTGTAGTGATGAAAATTTATCCGTAGAAGCATTTCAAATATTTTGCGATGAAGTTGAAATGTATTTACATTACTTCGCCCTGCTTCCCAGCTAATAAATCTGAGGAAAAAAATAGGAAAGAAGGAAAAAAAAGAAAAAGAAGAAACCCAGTTGAATAAAGCAGAATGAACAGGTTTCGGATAGAGCAGACACTTACCGTCCCAGGGAGAGACCCTTTTTCCTTCCCGCAGCATACTCGGAAAATGTAGTATGGGATGAAAAAGAGATATAGAGAATAGTATGCGATATTGAAAGGTACTGGTACGAGGTTTCCTACGAGGATACGAGGATAGAGCAGACACTTACCGTCCCAGGGAGAGACCCTTTTTCCTTCCCGCAGCATACACGGAAAATGTAGTATGGGATGAAAAAGAGATATAGAGAATAGTATGCGATATTGAAAGGTACTGGTACGAGGTTTCCTACGAGGATACGAGGATAGAGCAGACACTTACCGTCCCAGGGAGAGACCCTTTTTCCTTCCCGCAGCATACTCGGAAAATGTAGTATGGGATGAAAAAGAGATATAGAGAATAGTATGCGATATTGAAAGGTACTGGTACGAGGTTTCCTACGAGGATACGAGGATAGAGCAGACACTTACCGTCCCAGGGAGAGACCCTTTTTCCTTCCCGCAGCATACACGGAAAATGTAGTATGGGATGAAAAAGAGATATAGAGAATAGTATGCGATATTGAAAGGTACTGGTACGAGGTTTCCTTCGTTGATATAATCCATCCACATCAGGGATCTTGAAAACTTCCACTCCTGGTCTGCATCTTCCTTAAAGTGAATACCAACAAAAGAGAACCTTGTGTAAATAAAAGTAGTGAATAAATGTGGACTGTGAGGTGCACAATAAGGATATTCAAAAGGGTGTTCTATTGAACTACATTCGTATATCGTTCTATAATCCGTCGATTATCTTCGCTCGCAAGTGATTGGTAGGCCTAAGGGTTTCGTGTGAATGGGCAAAATCGGAATGAATCTGGATATTATCACCTTATCACGAAGATGAAGGCAATGCTATTAAGGCCTGTGTAAGAGCCAGGATAACATTTAGCTGTTGTTATAGAAAAAGACAGATGCTGGATTTTGTTGATAAAGCAGAAACGGAGAACACTGAAAGACAAAATCCTATGAGGTTTTTGTTTGAAGATGCGTTTCTTTTTTACAAGTATTTAATAAAACTTTTGATTCGCGTGCGAGGCAAAATACCGATAAAGTTAATAAACCCAAGCGCTTCGACATACCACGAACTTAAACCGCTGTATCTATCCTTGGACCCTATCTGTTCGGAAAGGACCACGGTCATTCCTCTAAATTAAGGCTCGATTGTGAGCGAATTTTGTCTACAGGAGGCCTTGTTGTTTTGGTTTTTGGGATTGAAATTTCGTCCCTCCACTGCACATGCGACTCTCGCGTGGTGCAGGATAGTGACCTGCTCAGCGCTGGAAAACGAGGACGATCCACTTAAGATTTTTTCTTGACTAAAAAAAATTCA